TAATTTAGATAAATTAATTATAAATGTAAATACTATTGTTCAAATGTATATATTCAATTAGTTTATATTAATATTTTAACTAAAATTAAAGTAAAATATATTCAAAGAATAAAAAATCAATTAAAGTAACTTCATATTTTATTCTTTATTCTTTTCATCATTTTATTCTTATTATTCATACTTCTTTCTATTATTAATTTCATTTTTATTACTTTAGATTTCATTATTGTATGTTAGTTCTTCCATTTTTATATTATTTTGTTCATTCATTTTTGTTTCTTTTAATTATCATATTTTTATCATTTTATCTATATTATTCTATATTAATATATTACTTCTTATTTCAGATATTATTTTAGTTTCATAGACTAGTAAACAATAGAAATCAATTCTGTTAATACTTAATTACTTTTTATTTATTATTTCTTGTTTATTATTTATTATTATTTTATGATTGAATATTTACGGTTGATTATATTTTATTTTGTTTCTTATTTTGTGTTGATTTCTTATTTTGTAATGCCATGTTTATTTAAAAGAAAAGAAATCAACCAATTAAATAAGAGAGAATATAGTTGAATACAAAGATGATGTTGTGGAATAGAGTAGATGGTAATACCAAACTATTTATTGTCAATCACTACTTTATGTGTCTTTATTGTGCTACCAGGATTTGTAGTATTCAATCATGAGAGAGTTGAGAAATGTAGTTTAATTTCTTGTTTATCCTATTTATCTATTCTATTCATTCATACTCCAATTTCCATCTCCATTCAATAAATTTAAACATTTGACATATTCTTCCTGTTTAATTAATTAAATAATAAAATAATACAAATATGAAATAAATAACTGTAATTAATCATTTGGTATTCTTCATATAATTCATTATGACTTTCTTTATTCTTTTTTGTTTCTTTTTATTTATTTCTTTATTCATTATCTTTCATGCTTATCAACAAAAAATAACAATATTTAAAAACTATTCATTTATAAATTTGTTGAAATTTTTATAATTATTTTAGTGTTTCATCAACTTCTTTTTTAGATAGACCAGTGTTATCATTTTAATTGTTTTTGATATTATTTCCAATCATAGAATTCCGTGATCATCAGTTAATTTCAGTTTATTTAATTTCTGATTGTAATCACTATTCTCAATATTTTCAATTTATGAATCCAATCAGTTTTGAATTTGTAATAATTTTATTCAGTTTTATTTAACGTACTTATAAAATTATATATAAATATTAAATTGAATGAAGATATTTATTATTGATTGTACGTCAATACATTGTGTTAATATTTACATGGATCATCATTGTTTGATAACGAATTGAGTACTTTTCAATAACTCAATTATTAATAATACTTTTTGATATGTTAATAATAACCATAAATTTATTGTTCAATTGGAAATATTTTTAATTTAGATATTTCAATTTATATAACAAATCAAATACATATTCAATTATTTCAATATTTTAAATAAATATAATATTCTAATGTAAATATTACCAATGATTATAATGTAACATTTAATAGATTATTTTGTCATTGAAGAAATTAGAAATAAATTGATTACAAATAAATAAATTGATTAGAATAAATAATAATTTATATTATGACATATATAATACATACAATGTTATTTCATTCAGATGATTATAATTATTCAATCATCATTTATACAAATTGATAGTTCAATGAAAATATACATCAAATCAATTAACAAGAATGAAATAAAAACAAAATAGTACAATAAAAAGAAAGAATGATAAAAACTTGTATTGATACAAAATACAAAATAGAATAATTACAAATTAAATGAACATATTAATCTAACTCAATAAAAACAATAACCAACATATTAAGATATTATTTTAAATAATATAAATATGCAACGAAAAAAAAACAAATAAGAGAAAATGAAGAGAAATGAAGAGAAAGATGACATAAAAGAAAAAGTGAATTAAGAAGTAGAAGAGAAAAAGA